AAAATCTTTGAAATTAAATTGTGCCCAAAGAGGACATATAGACTTTTTCTCCTTATCATTATTCTCTAAACAATATTTATATCCATTTTTGTGGAATTAGACATTTTCAGTGCTGGGCAAAGTGATGCACACCTACAACTCCAGTTACTCAGGGGGCTGAGGCAGAAGGATCATGAGTTCAAGGCCAGGTCTGGGTAACCTACTAATATATACCCTATATCAAAATAAAAAATGGCTGGAGATGTAGCTCAGTTCTCCCTGGGTTCAGTCTCCAGTACTTCAATAAAATAAAAATAAAAGGTATTTTAAATAATCTAGAGATGATTCAAAGTTTAAGATAGTATGTACATAGGTTATATGCAAATACTGTATCATTTTATATAAAAGCTTTGAACATCTGCAGATTTTGGTGTCCTTGGTGGGTTGATGAAATAATCTTCACTGCATACCAAGGCATGACTATACCTATATTTGAGAATATGTGTGCATGGTTTTTTTTGATAAGTTATCCATTTTATTATCTTCATTACAATCATCAGCCACTTGATATGTGTCCACATAAATATTTGGGAGGCCAACTAATAGAGTGCCAATTCTCAGTGGCATAAAAGGAGAATCTTCCAGATATTAAAACTCAAGTAATGATGTTATGATTCTCATAACGTCTCACCACACACAAAGGCAAAAGTCAGGTGTTTTCATGCTGCATTTTAAATAACTGAGTTAGTAGAAAAATATAATGTGGCTCTGTTAGAGTCTTGACAGAGGTTGGTTGCAAAGATCACAGACTGGGGCCCATAACTGAACGTAGGCAACAGGTAACTTTAGCAAAAAAGAGTACTGTTAAAAAACAGACTTGATTATATTTTAGGCAGGGCATACATATTCTCAGACTTACCATAGTCCTCACTATGCCATATTGCTTTAACATTTTACTTGCTTTGTCATTAGGGGGCAGTTGCTTTCCCCCCATAATTTTATTGAGAGATATATAGCAATGAGACAGTATCAAATCAAATTGGTATGACAGTTTCAATAATTAACACATTGCATACTCTCTTTCTAGTGGTTATTTGCTGCACAAGATGCAGACATGGTATCCTATTTACAAACACTATGACAACAAATCCCTCTATTCATTAAGAGAATGTAACTATATATCTGTCCTAACCATTTTGACTACACAGCTACAAAATGGACATTC